TGGTGGTTATTGTTGATAGTGTTTGTGGTGCGATAGAGATGGGGGCTGTTGGTGGTGCAATGGTGAAGGTGGCAGTGGTGGGGGCTGAATCGCTGGTGTCATCGCCTAATAGTGATGACTGCATCGTCGACCTTTTGGTTTCGATGTTCTTTTGAGTTTTCAGATTGTGATGTGGTGGTGGCGGCGGCGGCGGCGGATGCGGTGCCGGGTTTTTGGGTTTTTTTTTTTTTTTTTTTTTTTCACTTTGACAGGATTTAGTTCTGCTACCAGGATCCAACGATGAATCTTGGTGTCAGGGGCTAGATGGATTGGCTTCTAGATCTGTTGAATACTATAAGCAAGGGGTTCGTTTTGCAAAATGGTGTGCTGTTTTCGTTTAAAAATGTCAGCTGTATCTTTCACTTTAGGATGTGGATGTCAATAAATTGTTTCCTTTCAAGGATGAAAAACAAATGATGTGCTGACCTTTTTCCCTTTGCATTCTAATATTTCAGGAGAACTGTTGTTAGCATACCCTGTGGTCCTTCTGCTTTGGCTGTTAAAGCAGCAGCATGGGTCTCCCTCGTTATGCTGCTATTTCTCAGGTACCTATCTAAATCCCAATTCCACTAATATTCCTTATATTTCTCTTCCGAGAGTGCTTGTCTTGTTTCAGTTCATTGAATCCAGGCGTTATTGTTAAAAACCAGTAGAACGAGACAGATATCTTTCTATTGGTGGTGAAATAATATGTAATTGTGATTTCTTGTGCAACTCGTGCCTATTGCGAAGCATGAAATTCTTCTGGATGGCGACCACCCAATTAAGAGGACAATTGAAATGGCAGAGCATGTGTGGTCAGAGGTGTTTTACTGGGCAGATAACAACGTTGTCTTTGAAGGCATTCTACTTAAACCTAGCATGGTAACTCCAGGTGCTGAACACGAGGAGAAGGCTTCTCCAGAGACTATTGCCAAATATACACTCACCATGCTCAAAAAGAGAGTGCCCCCGGCAGTTCCAGGAATCATGATATAAAACTCGGACTACATATCAATTAGTTAATTCTGCGAATTTTAAACCTTTGTGTCTGAGGCACCAAGAGTGTAACCTCAAAAGTTTGGTGGGGTGAGACTATGGACTAGCATATTGAGGTCAAAACTAAAGAGAGGGTGTTTCAAGCTCTGCAATTGAAAGTACTCAAAAAGCACACAGAGAAATGAAAATATGCTTTGGTGCATCCAAATTTACCCCATATTGTAACGCCCCAAAATTTATTTATTTATTTATTTTTACTATTATTATTATTT